CAAAACAGGCGGAAACTCCTTTACGTAATATATGGACAGCCCCTAAGTGATTGATATTTCCTTTTACCAGCAGAAAATCATATTTTTGTTGTCCGTTAATCGACTTTATGTACATTTTATTATTTTTTATATATTTATTAAATTTCAATCGATAACTAAAAGAAAATAGAATTTCAAAAGATCGCGACTAGGGAGTACGTAGAAATTAAGATGCTTTCGGGCAGGATTTTCTCAAGGCTACTTAATGGCAACATCAGTGATTCTATTCTATGATTAACAAATCAGGGCTGGCGAAATTATTCGCATATGCTCGAAAATTGAAGAGAAGTTCAAAATTTAAAAACAAAAAAAAATGTTTTTTTTTTAATTTTTAATTATTAAAGTGTTTTCGGTGGCACCAAACAAAATAGTACGTATTGTAACAAAATTCTGCAGCTATGGCTTAAAATTAATGCTAGCTCTAGCCTCAAGAAGGCTAACCTGGTCACACTGGTGCTTAGGTGTAATCCTAGATAATAAAATTTTATGGAAGTTTCATGTTAAATAAAAAATGTCTTTGGTAAAATGTGAGGTCTGTCTTAAGAGGAATCCTGTGGAATTATGCTTCTATGTTAAAACTATGTATCAGCTATGCATCTGTGGTGTGGTGGCGCAGACTTTCAATCAATTGCGAGGGAAAATTGTTTTTGCCAAACTTAAAGGAACGATCGCACTCAGTATAACGGGAGCTTTCCCTCCAACACAGGCGCTGCTCTGGATGCACTGCTAAACCTACAGTCACTTAATATTTTTATGCGCGATTTGTGGCGTGCGCCTTGAACACACAAAGCGGAGGGACCTACAGTTTTACGCCGACTCCGAACGGCGATTGTATTTTTATGAGAAGCTGTTTTTCATGGCAGAAATACAATCGGAGGTTTGCCATTGCCTGCCGAGGGACGACCGCTGTTAAGAAAAAAATAAATAAAAAATCGTTGGACATGTATCTCGTTGAAATTGAACATGAATATCGAAATGGAAATTTTTTCAAGTGTATTGATTTTAATCTAGTACATAACAATTAATGAAACCGTTAGTTCCGTATAAAGGATTCTTTGAAAACTATAGCAATAAAATATTAAACATTTACACATTTCTACAAGTATTGCTTATATATACTTATGCTAAGTACTCAAATTGTGTGTTTAGTGTTGGAAAGTGCTTCAAAGAAATGAACAATGACATACATATGTACGTATGTACATATCAAATAAAAATAGTAAAAACTTAGAATACTCGAAGAAGCATTCAACTAAAATGTTGCTTCCGACATTAATATATACATACAAGTACCGTTTTCTCGGACTTAGAGTTTATTTATTTAACTTATATATTTGTGCTTTGGCTATTTTAAGTTCACCATTTATTTGTACAATTTAATTTATCATGGTTTCCGTAATTAGTTTTATTTTTATTTTAATTATTTCTTTTTCTAAGAACTGTGCGATAGAGTTAATCTAAATTTCTTAAGTCTATTTATATTCACGAACTTAATTATTATTTACACGATTTTACAAATATTTTTTACACTAATTTCCTTATGTCAACTTAATCGCTAAAAATAATATGCTTTAATTTGATTTTGAAAAAAAATGAAAGTGAAAAAATTTAGATATTAATTTTAAACTTTTCTTGAAAGATAGCCCGAAAGAGCATCGAGTTCGGGGTACCTGTTTTTTTTTCAATTTAGCAAAGTGGTAAAAGGGATTAAAATATCAGGGTAGTTTGTTTTTTATGCGAATTCCAAAAACTTTTTTTCCACATCATTACGTTCAATCAGTGGAGCGACCCTTTGTGTTAGGAATGTTCGATATTTTAAAATGGACCGATAACATGAATCGATATAATTCATTGTACTAATAATAAAATAGATATGACCATATATGGTGCTGAACAATATCGATATCGGAAATATCGATATAAAAAATAAAAAAGTTCTATTAATGAAATTCAAAAAATTTAGATTTTTTTCAATAATCTGCCTTATCCTGAGTTTCGCCTGAAAAAAAAATTCACGCGAAAATTTTTCATCCGCCCATAGTAAAACCATGGAAACCAAAACTAAAAAGTGAACCGGTTCGGGGAAAATGAAATTCATGATAAAGCTGAATATGTAATGTAAGGGGTGGTCTTTGAAAATATCAACATTCAAACTTTGTTTGGGGCACCTCTTTATTTGGTTCTAAATATGTACAAAATAAAGACTCCCATGAAAATTTAAAAATTTAAAACAAATTTTTTGGGGTCGGTTCGTTTTAAATCGCAAAACTTCAACAAAATTTTGACTTGAAATCTAATACTGAAACTTATTCATACATATAAACTCATAAATTCGCCGAGTTATAGCTGGTTAAAGCAACATTTTTTTTGAATTTTTGCAAATTTAAAAAATATTTTATTTTTTTTTTTGAAACTTTCGCGAAAGCCTTTACGTTGCATGTAGATAATAATATTTCCTCACACACCCTAATGTACATATCGTCACCTTAATGCACGAAAGGTCCTAACCAAGAAATTTTTTATTTTACAGGAGAAGCACAAAACATTAGAAAATGAATATCAAAAAAGGTATGCATTTTTAAAAAATGGCATGTAACTCCGTTGTTTTTAGTTCTAACACTTCAAAAGTTTTATTGAAATCTGTTCGAAAAGGGTGTTGGTTAGAACCTTTGTGAATTAGGGTACCGATATATAGAAATATATCATTCTTATTACTACGAGGGTTGTCTTTTATATTTTGCACCTTTTCAACACTACGTGTTTCGACATTTTTATCGACGAGTTTTATTTGTTCTTTTTTCAGTAAGTAGAAAAATTCATCTCGCCCAAAAGATGGGTTTAACTAGTGAAAATTTTTGCGCAATAATTTATTATGATTTTCGACATAAATTATAGAGCCATGAGTGCATTGATTAACCTACCTCGACTTTCCCCGTTGAAGCACCACATCTAGCGACTCTGGTACAAGTTCCAACGTGGCCGTCGATCCTTGCAGGATTAATTTCGTAAAGGCCATCCAAAAAGGATTGTTGCGCCAGAAATAATCGATGCTGTGCGTCAACTGATAACGCAAGATCGTCATGTGATGTATTGCAAGATAGAGAAATCCTTGGGGACCATGCATACATTCAATATTGCAAGAACATTTGGTCACCAAGAATTTCTGTTCTCGTTTGTCAACTGCCAAAAAGAGGAAAAATTTGAAAATTGGTTCAAGCGAATGCAGACTTCCAAGGAGAATATTTTGGCCATTTCATTATTATTTTACTGTGTTTTCATTAAAAGGCACAAAATATAAAATGCAACCCTCGCATGAAATGCTTTTCATATCGTAGACTATCTCTTTTTTCAATGCATATTTCGATCTGAGACAGTCCGCTCTTGTTTCCCCGTATACACTGTATAACAATTTTTAAGTTCCAAGTTGTTTCCAAGTGTTTAATGCAAGATTTAAAGCCATAGACACTGTTCCTCGTATAACTATTTTCTAATGCACTTTTACTGAGAAAGACATTGTTAAAACACAAAAAGGCCTCTCAAAGGACTCTGCAGGAAACAGCTAAACAAGTCAGTAAAAATACCAGTTTATGAACTGCCATGAGCTGTAGCGGTGGCCTACCAGTTCGACTTATGCGATCAGCGACATCTGCTTAAGATTGTCAAATCCAAAACTCAAATGCAATTAATTCACACAAGTGTCGGCTTAACGACTAGCGCTTCTGGTTCTGTGATCACAGGTCAGCGTTGCCAGAAGTGAAGACTTATTTTGAAAAAAAAATATATCGGTAAAATCTTAAACTGAAGAAGTTACAATGAAAGAGAATATATCGAAGATATTCACTATGAAGACTTCTGGCAGCTTTTTTTGACGATTTTTTATGTGATTTCAACAAAAAATTAAATTAATTTAGATAAAACAAAAATTAGTAAAAAGATGGAAGGGGACTCAAGAAGAACACTGGTGCATATATTGGTGTAAATTTACCAATTTTGGTATAAATCTGAGTAATTGTACCAAATTTCATAAATTTACACCAAATCATACACCAGTCTGCTACTTGAGGAAGTATTCTTTTTACAAAAACAGGCAACCAAATATTGTCATAATATTGATTCAAATGAAAATTAAGATATATTAAAAAATTTTAAAGCTATAATTTACAAATATTAAATCACATGGATATAAATGGGGCATTCTTAATATGCTAGAATTTTTTGTTTTTCGAAATTTTGAATTTTTTGGCTTTCGTGTAGTGTGCCGATGAAATGAAATTATTTCGAATATTTATGAACTATTTGCTTAGAAACGATGTGTGATCAAAAAAGTAATTAAACACTCTTGAGATTTTTTTTTTTGAAGAATGTGCTGAATTTTTCTTTTTTAAAATTGAAATGTCATATTTTTTTGTTCGCCATTTTGATTCGCGGATTTCTTGAAATTGTTGAAAATAGATATTTGCTTCACGAAAAAATTATTTTTTTTTCCGAGTTTTAAAGATTTAGTCCTCACTTGACCGATTTTTGAGGAAAAAATTCTGGTAACACTGTATTAGAATCGAATTCGCAAAAATTTTTCACATTAAATTTAAATATAAATCACAAATATGAGAAATTAATTTCCTTTGGCCGAAATACATTTTAACACCATAAAAATTAAATTAACCAAAGAAAAATTTGTTTCTTGTTAAAACAAAAAAATTTGAAAATTGCAAATAAAAAAAAGAATTAATAGAAATACCATAAAAAAAATTTCTGCTGCTCGAGTGTTCGAACCTTGGATCTCTCCAAGGGCGCGCTAATGCAGTCAAAAAGGTAGAATGTCTTAACTAAAATACTAGCAAATAAAAAAATGCCAAATAGAAAAATTTGTACAGTTTTATTTCCGAAAAAAAAAATCATGAACACATTTCATAAAGAAGAACATGAAATGAAACAGTTAAATATTTGCTAAAATATTTTAAGAATAAACCACAAATAAATGATATTTTTTTTAAGACTACAAATAAATAATCATGATTTACATAGTTCTTCTACATTTTAATGAAATAATACTCGTTTTATGTAAATAAATACATTATTTTTCGCATTACTTTAAAAGCCTTTCTACAACTACAATTGAACGATTCATCTTATCTATATATGCACATAAATAACATAAATACAATTAATCACTATGGAGCTTAAACTCAAAATTTTCAATTTCAAACCTACTGCATATTTTAAATCGTTGCCTTTGAACGAGTTTTAATTTGACGACATTCAGCCTTTGTCCCGAATTTTCCTACGTTTCCATCGCTCACTCTTCAATAGATAATGTGCATATCTAACTACATACACTCCAGTTACGCAATTTCAATTGCTCCTAACTACTTGTGCTTAGTCGTCTATGCTTGCCATTTGTTGTGTGTGAGCTGTGATGTCCAGTGTGCGCACTGTGCTACATATAATTTTACTCTGGTCAAGTTGGACTCCGCTGCTGTGGCGACACCTTAGCACCGTTCCGATTTCTACTTATATTATATCCATTTGTTTTTCTTCGATATCGACGAGCGGAGCCTACGACCCCACATAAGGTTGTATCATACAATTGTCCCTTGTAAATGTTGCGGTGATTGCATTTGTCCGGATTGTTGTGAATCCTGTTGTGGCACTTGTAGCGGTGAATTTGTGTTGCTCGATGTGGGTGAGGCGCCAAGATCGGCTGTATTAATGGCCAGCGATGAACCACCGCCGAGTGTAGAGCCACCCAAAGCCGAGGGATTAATGCCACCACCGGCGCTACCTGCTATGATGCAGGGTACGCCTAAAATTGGCGTGGGCTCTTCGGGTGGGGTGACCTAAATAGTATGGCGGAATTGAATGTGAATATTGTGATTAAATGGAATAAAATAAAGAAAAAACTCACCTCCAATCCTATACTGCCATTGAGCGCAATTTTTATTGGATTCGTATGATTCGTTGCCTGCATCAGCGTTGTAAAATGACTGATGCCTATTTCCTCCAGCGAAGATTTACGTCGGCCATGGCTTACACCGACATTGGGTAAACCCTGCCGCAGCGAGGAGGAACGCCGCAGCAATATATCATTGTCGATCTGCAAGTGAAAGTAAGCGGAACGAAACCGATTCAAAAACGGGAAATTTACCAATCTTGTGAAAACAACAACGAAAAATGGGGTGTCGCTTTTCAGTGATTGCAAAAAAAAAAAAAAAAAATATATATAGTATAAATAGTTATATATTGCAAAACAACACTTATTTGTGGAAAACAATTTTATGTAAGTTTTTGCCAAATATTGATGTTAGTAAAAAATAATATTGAAATAATTGTTACTAAAAATTGGCAAATATATATATTTTTTTATAATAATATTAGTAATTAGTTCTAAAATTATGTAAATGCAGATACAAATGCGGTGACGCGACTCCACTGATTCTCGGTTTCCACTGTCATCAAGCAATCAACAGCCAACAACAGGTGGTCGCACATCGATGGCTATAGTGGGTGTTGGTGATACAAATGTCGCACGCAATCGGTGATCGATGATCGGTGACGGTGTCGATGGTTGCAGTTGGTGGTGGTGGTGGTGATTTTGGGGGTTGGATTTGGTGCCGTACATATTGATTAGTAGATAGTGGTAAGAGTGTGCTTAGTGTTGGATATAGTGTTGACAGTGTTAGTGGAACAGTTATGGTGGGATTCTAAAGTACTCTGCCATCGCTAACATAGTATATCGTATAACATCGACAAATAATTCTAAAAGAAGATACAATTTTCGTAAAAAAAAAATGATTTGATTTGTTAGCTTTCAAGAAGTCCCGGGTCGAATGTCGTCAGACGCAACGCATTAAAATGATACAAAAATTGATTAAATTGATATAATTGCGGAAACTTAATAATTCTTTTTTGTTTGATTTTCAATAGCTATGAATAATCAACCGTGTAGATCACGACGAAAACATTTTGAATTTTGAACATTTTGATATTGGAAAATAGGTGAAATATCAGATTTTTTTAAAAGATTTTTTTCCGTTTTGAGGTACGTTTCCGGATATATTTTACTGGCTGGGTGAGTACGAAAAATTAATTTAATTAAAAAAAAATTTATTTTAGTATTCACTGCGAGGACATTTTTATTATCGGTATTTTTAGTTGATAGTCGATAGTTATGTAGCGTTAGCGAGTTTCCGGATCCCATCTATTTTACACATTGGAGAGTATTAGAAACAATTACAGATATGCACACATTATTTATATTAAAAAAATTGATGGAAAAAATTAAAAAATGTAGTAAAATGTAAAATTAAATTATGTAGAAAAAATACTAAAAATAGGAATTTTTTTTTTTCAAAAGCAATAAAAAGTAAAAAACAAAAACTATTTACATAGGTACCTGATGAATTTATTTATACATATCAATAATTGAGAAACCACGAAAAAGAGTAGCCCTTAAAAATACACTATAGTGCTTTAAATAATTATTCACATTCTCTTTATACCGAAAGTTATACTTATACAAGATGGCCCACCATGTTGTTTTTTTTGAGAAAAATTGGGAAAAACATGTTATGCTTCTGTTGACTACTCATTTGGACTTTATTACATTCAACCTTATTATGACTTTTCACCCGAAATGAAAAAAATTCGTGCTAATTTGTTTTCGGGCGAAATTCAAGATAAGTAAGTCTGATTATCTTTTAAATTTTATCTACATAATCGCCGCCATTACCGATTGCTCTGTTCTGCAAGGGTTTCTGCATGAACTGATGCAGGTATTTCAGAAAAAAATTTCTCGTTGAATACAAGATCGGGGTCCAGCTTATCAGGGTTTCAAGAAGAAATTGTCTAACTGAACTGTAAACTAAATTTATGGAAAATATCGTCAGCCATCTTAGTTTCACCATATTAAGTTCTTAAAATCTGCAATTTGAATTAACTTTCCAAAGGAAATCCCTAAAATTGTCACAGATCCGAGAAATGCTCAAATATTTCATTCCGTTTATTTCTGTGATTAAATGTCTTCTTACTAAAACCAACAAGTCGCTTGTAGACGCTGTAGCTCCCTCCAATATGTCCATACCCTGAACACTTTTAGAATGCTCGTATTTTTCATATTTTTTTTTTCAAATCCTTGGTCTTCAGTGAAAACTTTAAAGACCCTAAAAAATCCTACTGCGTTGTTAGGAGCGTGCAAACAAAGGTTTTTACTACACTTGCGATTTATGCGCTTATTTCTTAAATCAATCAAATAACGATCAATTACAAGATTAAAACATAATTGAATAAAACCAATAAAAATTCCAATAAAAACTATTAAATAAAACTTAAACATTGATAAAGGGAAAGTAAAAAGTGTAAAAATATGAAACCGTTATTGCTGTACATTGTGTTGGACGATATAGACAGGCAGTTAGAAATGATAAAGAGTGAAGAAAAATTCAAACGAAACAAAACAAAACAAAACACAATACACACGAGTATACAGGTGTCAAGCCAGTGACGGTAAAGGTAACAAATGAAAAGTGTTAACGCCATTGGATAAATGGATAAATAGTAGCCAACCCGCAATGAATTGCTCCGGCCGCGCTGCGCGCCAACAACCGTCGGACTGTCGGGTAGAGAAAGAGAATTGGATTTAATTTGTTGTATTGGCGGCGAGCAGCGTGGCGAACCATACCCGGCCAACGTCTGGACGCTTTGCATTTGCATCGGATTAAGACCGGCTAAGCCGGAGCCGCGACGTGAGCCGGCACCCTGTGTTGCATTAACGTTTGTACCGCAAGCGGCACCCAAATTGATATTCGAACAGAAGGATATGTTTGATTTGCGGCGCGAATTGTGACGTTCGAACGTTTTTTGCGCTGAAAATGGTGATGGTCGTACTAGATAGCTGCAAAGAGAAAACGAAGAAAAAAAAGAATGTCAAAATGTCAAAATAAAAACAAAAACTCAAATATATGTATGTATACGGGTCAATCCATGTCCAATCGACGAATGAATTTTGGTCAGAAGTTTTGATCTTATAGTTATGAAAATAGTTCTCATCTCAATTTCGGGGTGATAATTCGGCACTAAAAAAATATATATACCCAAAAAAAAAAAAAAAAAACCGGAAAAAATACAGAATTTTGAAATTTAAAAAACTGTAAAATCAAAAATTTACATGGATAAATTTTTAGCTAATTTTTTTAGTGATAATTTTTTAGTACAGAAATTTTCAAGAATTTTTTTTAATATAAATTTTTGAACTTTGAATTTTTTTGCAAATTCTTAAGTAAAATATAAAATATAAAAATTAATCGAAAAATAATAAAATTATATAATTTTTAAATTTAAAAAACGTTAAAGCAAAAACTCATATATATTTTTAGCTAACTTTTTTATCTGAAAGATGCTGGAATTTTAAGATTTTTTTTTTTTACATAAATATTAGAACTTGAACTTTAAAATACAATTTTTCCCAAACTCCAACTTAAAAATACATAAATTAGTTTTTGAGCTATTCAGAAAATAAACTTGCAACATTCCGGAAATTGTTAAATTTAGAATTTTACTTAATTTTGAAATAAAGTTCTGACCAAAATTCACCCAAATCTAAAATATATTTTACAATAACAGTCGCTTTCAAATTAATTTTAAGCTTGGCCATTCTCCACCTACATGACATCGCCTTCCTCCAATTTGAGATCACAGCTCGGATTGATTATCACATATGAGAGATGATTGCGCTTCTCGCTCACGTCGTCATAGTCGTTTGTTGGCAAATTCAACGAATCCATGCGGCTGCGCACCAAATTCGCTATTTCGGCACGTTCAATTTGTTGTGCATGATTGTTGCGTGCCTCATCGGCCAAATTGATTGAATACTGAAAAAACATAGAAGACTGCTGTACGATTAGTCTACTTAGTTCGGTTTGGGTTAAGAGTAGCACACTACGTTTGCATGGGTAAATATTTTTAGGGTATTCTGGTATGTATGTATGCACGCTATTTCTCTAAAGTTACATATGTATAAGTACATGGTACATACGTGGATGCAAATACGAGATATGTAATTAGGTATTAACTACCAAATAGAAGTGATTTCGTGAGCATCTAGACATCGCATCGCATTGTGAATAGAATAATAGGTAAGTATTTATTTAGTATGCATAGTTTTTTTTCTATATTGTAGCACTCGATCTGGCAGTCTCCGTGATTTGGTGTTTGTTTTTCATTCCCTTCTAAGAAGCATTAACATTCGCGCAGTAGCAAACGAGTAATATATCCAACAGTAGTATCTTATCATTATTAGTTAGATATTCTTTGTATTTATTCAAATATTGTCGAGGCACACTAACTCTACAAATCTACCTGTTGAGCATACCTTTTCAACATTTTCTTGATGCAATGCAAAGTGCAAGAATTCATTCATTATTTTTACAGTATTCTACTTCTATGTACAAGCTTTAAGTGTTAAAATACAAGTTTTCATTATATAGCATATAGAATTCAATACCTACCTTTTGCGGTATACATACATATGTGTATGAAGATAGCTGATTCATTAACTTTACATATGTACATATGTACATGATAACTGTATACATATATTATAGTTCAATAATAAAAAGTATAACACTGTGCGCCAGTAAACTATGCGCACAAAAAATTAATAAACCAAACAACTTTAATATTTTTATTTCAATAGAGTTATCGAGCTTTGTAGGACCATTTTTGTTTTTTAGGAAAAATGGAAAAACCAACAAAGTTTAAGCGGTAGAAGTTGTAGCTACTATTTCGCAGATTGCCACATCTCCTCCTCGGACTTTTTTCTCCAGAATGCTGCAGGAATCGAACCCGCATCATAGATGTGCAAAGCCAGCGACTATAACCACTGAGTTATGCACTGCCCGTAAACTATTGCGGCTAATCCATTTTCTCATTGAACCTACTACTATCAAGTGCAGTTGATTCGCTGCTATTTAGTGTTTTTAAATTCTATAGAATTTTCTCATTCACTTAGAACCCGCGCTGTTGTTTTTCGTTGCCATAATTTTTGAAAAAATTATTTTTTGAAGTAATCATATCTTAAAAATTTCATAGTCCTTTAAAAAAATCATATATTTGACCCACAGTATTATGTTTTTTGAAATTTTTTTTTATTTTCGTCGCACGGTATTTTCTACGTACCAGTGCTGGACCTATTGAATTGATCTCAACATTCACTAACAGAATATTATCTTATGAAGTACTTTCTAGCCAATTTGGGTTTTGGTTTAATCTGACATCCACACGCTGCCGTTCAGCTAAAAGCAGAAGATCTAGTCGGAACTTATCCTGAAGATTTAGAAGATGCTGTAGCAGAACTCTCTGCTTTGTCACCACAATTTAAAAAAAAAAGTATCAATAATCAGTTAAACGTACTTTAGATTACATCATTGTAGATGATGATCTTTGTTCAACATTCATTAATGCTGAAATAGCAAGTGACAATGACCTGCAGTGGTGAAGGCCAATTCCATTTTTGTGACTGACTGATTTTTGTGGAAAGCAGGGACGGCAAAAATGCTAAAATAAACTTACAGCATTTTAAGGTAGTTACTTATCTTGTTAGTAGTTTAACGGCGAACCATGCTAAATAAGAACCCCATATAGCAGCCATACAGAAGCCTATGTGGAATGTATATGTGGACTGGATGACTGAGTCAACATTCTATTTTACGAAAACTCGCTCAGATCGAACGCTTACAGTGTCCTACCAGTGACAGAACTTCTGAAATTTTGATCTCAGGACTTAGTTGTTGTAAGGCTGAGCTTCAGGGAGAAAGTGGTGTTTGAATTAACTATAATTGCCGAGTATAGTGGTCAACTTCAAACTGTAGAGTCCTAAGTGAGAATACTAGCTTGCTGTACCACTAAGAATTCGACTCTCCCCCATGGCATTGATGAGGTGGTGGTTAAAGAAATTGGTGTTTTCACGTCAGTTTGGGGGAAATTTTTCCGAATTATGACAGATAAAAAAGCATCAGAAATTCACGAGGGATTTAGGGAAATTTTTAAACCGCTCCCTTTGAACAAAATGATGAAACAAATCGCTAGGTAAAGGCATTCCGCCTATTTTACTCAAAAAGAAGATGCCCAAAATGAATTTTCAATGCGTTGCTTGCATTGTTTAACCATAATTGTAGACCATAACTGGAAACCTGAACTCGAGTTGGGCTAAGTGAAGTATTAAAGTGTAATCCTAGTTACAACTTTTGTGGCTGTTTCACGTTTAACAAAGGGTCTCCAATGTTCTAATTACCTTCCAAAAATTTAAACAGGCATTTGCTAAGAGATAGAGAGAGAGAGTCTATCGAGTCTACGCCGAATGCACTGATAAACCTATCGTTACTTATTTTCTACGTACATATATCACCTGTAGGCTTAAAAGAAATGGATACCGATATGACACAGTGTGTAATGACACACAAATTTCTGTATGCAGCGGCCTATGCGTTAATTTCCTTTCAGCGTAATAGGATAGTCTTTGATGAGGATATAGTACAGTGTGGAATTATTTGCAGTTTTGTAGCCCATTAATTGTAGTATAATGAAATGCAAGTTTTAAGTTTGTAAAAAAACCCATTGCTTTTTGTGTTTTTGTTTGGTTGAATTTTTTCCGATTTCAAATTTTTTCAATATGGAGCTTAAAAAGCTTAAGCGTAATGTGTGTGCCAAATTTGGTTGAGATCGGTTAAGTAGTTTTTGAGATACACATATGTATGTGATATATGTAAGTGGGCGGTGCCACGTCCATTTTTCTAAAATTTTTGGAAAACCAATTTTTTGCTAAAGAGCGATTGTATATATCAATTTTGAATAAATATTTCTGAATTCCTTAGCGACATTTTTAAGTATTTAAGAAATGTCGCCTAACTTCGACAATTTTAATGCGATTGCAATAAATAGCTATCAGTTTGTTTAAAAATAGATTTAATTTTAGATAGTACTACATATTTTGAGGTGGAAATTATCGATGGCCAAAATTAAATTTTTTTTTTTTAACCCTATAAAAATCCCAACAAGCTAAGTCCGATAATAGATTATTATATAACATTTTAAAGGCCTATATATACTCTTCTCAGATCAGATTCGTTCTTTGAAATCTAATCAAAAATAATTATACAACAACTCATAAAAATAATTATTCAAAAACTCATACATTTTATTTTTTGAAGCAAATCGACAGGTCGCGACCTAAAAATGACCTTTAAAAATTTATTAAAAAAAGGCAATCGAATATTTCTCATAAAAACGAATAAAATTGGGTGGTAGAGTCTGGAAATTTCCAAAAAAAAATAAGCATTTTCGATGGGCACCCTACTGTACATACTTTATACTTATTCACAAAAGCATACTATAAACATATGCACTGAGGAGCAAAACCGGAACAATAGTACATAATGTGAATTTTCTTGCAACATATTCGCAATATATGAAGACTTTTTTGTAATCTAGTTTCGGAATTCACATTTCCAATGTTTATTTCATCAGAAGGCCTTAAAAACAATAATTAATACAAGCAGATAAAAAAGAAAATTGCAAAAAAACGTAGCAACTAGATTGTCCCAGTTTTGCATCCGACAGAAAATTTTACCATTTGCTTGACTTTTAATAAATTGGCCATAACCAATTTGAATATTTTAGCTTTTATGGGATACTTTTGCACAGGTTTTAGACGAAATCTGTTGAGAACGCGCATCGGTTTTCTTCAACGCCATGCCCAAGGTCTTGCATGCGATTGGGCGAATTTTCGCAATTGAACAGTAGCATTTTCAAACAATTCCATAAGTTTTCTGTTGAATCAATTCTGGGCTTTACGCAGGTCACTCCATGATTATAAAATCTTGGGATTTATACCTATTTGGCCCCAGTTTCGGAGGATATTTCTGACCCTTGTCCTGGTAAAATTAATAAAAGTCTGCGAAAAATATCCTCAGAAATTGCCAAATTCTTTGAAAATGCTCATTTGTTGTCGATTTTACCACAGTTCTTACTCCCCAAGGCGTAACACGGCCCTACATCATTAAATGTACACATACAAACTTAATAGCTTAAATATTTTGGGATGTTAGGCGTATCTCTGATGCAGGTGCACAGCACTTGAACCAATATTTCGACTGAAAACGTTTAATTTTATCCTTAGAGTTAAAAAATTAAGGGCCGCGCCCTAATCAATAGTAAATTTTGGTGGAATAATGTGGTCGTTTATGAAGAACTTGTAAATTACCGCTTCAAAATAATACCAATCCAATGTTTTTTCTTAGTAAAAATGCGTTTCTGAAAAAAAAATTTTCTGGATGTCAAAGCAGGCTTTCTCCTCTTTATCTTTGTGCTGCAATAACTTGTTCCCATGTCTTACATAATGTCCAGTTACTTGCTTTGTGGTGATAAAACAGTAATTTTTGATTTTGAACCAAAGTTTTTTGGCATTTAGAGACCCTCCAATATGCCTAGCCTAGCAAATTGCAATTTTTTGTGGTCTCTTGATCTTGCAGACTGAGGTCCGCCCTTTTATCGCTTGTTTAGATAACCATATAACGGACATTCGGCCGATATGATTTCTTTCTTTATAGCGTAGTCTTTCTGACCGTTTTGCAAAAACTTTAAATTCTTTTTGCTTGGGTTGTGCACTTAAAGCACTCACAGCGAAAATCTCACGCGTCTTGATTACAAAATTGCAGGAAATTAGCCAGAACTCCTCTTTGAATTATAAATTTCAGCAAATACTAAGAGGGTGCAAAACTGGAACAATCCAGTTCGTTTTTGTTTGGTAATTTTTTTCTGAGTTTCCATATGCGAATCTTAAAATTTGTATGGTCAAACGTTTAGTTAAACATCGGTAAGGCGAAATGCAAGTTTGAATTACCATAAAGTAAATAAACTGAAGAAGTACATTACCACAAAGTTAACTTTCCGTTCTATTGTTTCAGTTTTGCTCTTCAGTGTATACATACGCACGTAAATACGTTGTTAATATGTTATTATACGCTATTATATATAAATACGTATTTATGACCTTAATTGATACAATACAAATGTATTGCAATTTAAAAACAAAAATTCTAAATATGTAGAATTTAAGTGCACAATTTTTTTTGCAAACATTTCTCTTACATACTAAAAAGACTTAAGCACACACAAGTACCTGCAAGCATACATTTAGGCGTTCAGCAAACGGGGTACACAATGCATTTTCACACTTTGTGAATTCTTTGCTTTCTGTGGTGGTGTGGTATGTGCATTATAATCTATTCTGCTATGTACTTACTGAGGAGCCTTTCCGTTCCGAACAGCCACCCAAACAGGTGGTTGATTTCTGTTGTGATGGATGGCTTTGATGATGATGACCAGATGCCGAAGGCGGTCGGTATGTAACGCCACGAAGGACCTCGCTGCTGTCCTTCGTCGAATCGGGTGTACCCGCTTCTTCGTCGTACTGTACCGGCACCATAATATTTACAACATATGGCGATCGGTCGTTTGGTTGATTAGTTGATTAGTAGTAGTGGCGAGTAGAGTTACACATTGGCGTGTATTTTATTTATTTAGTTTTTTTTTTTTTGCATTTGGTAAATGTAGTTTTGTAGCATTAATGTAAATGTTAGATACAAAATGAATTTTTAATTGAGTTAAAAGTTTTTTAATTGAGAATGTACATTTTGGTGTTTCTTTGAAATACGTAAAAATTAAGTAAAAGGAGTAAAATGGAGTTATGTATTATGTTAAATAGAAAGAAAAAAAATACATATGCACACACATATACGTACAAAATATTTGACATGCATTGTAGGTTAGTATTGGGGAACAAAATTCATTTTGCTTGACGTACGAAAAAAAAAACTCGTTGTTAGTTACTTCAAACTCACATTTAGAATAAAATAGAAAAAAATGTATGTAAACAGTTGTCAATGAATTCGAAGATATTGCGTGGGAAATGAGGTTCGATTCGATGTATTGAACTTTTTTTTTTACAATAAGTGGATATCAACTTTCCGCGTCAAATTTGCTAAAACGAATTTTGTAAAAGTTAATTTTTTTTTTAATGGTAATGAGGTGTTCCTTCTCTTCAACATAGAATCTCCAAATGTCTGTACTTCAAGGGCCAAGCATGTCGTGTTTTAAGGTTCTTCATACTTAGCATTGAGCTCTTTTGTCACTGAAGCAAAGGAACTTCTTTGGGTGATTGTGTCCTTCTACCTCTACAATTTCCTAGAATATCTCTATGTCCTGGGACACATTTGGTGCTAATATCTTTTATAGCTGCCAGGAGTTCCTGTGCAACCTTGGATCTTAGCATTACCGCGTTCGTTGATGTGATGGCCGCCTGACTATTCGAGAAGAATTTAATCGTAGTCTTCGTAGTCTGATAAACGCTACAATGTTCCGGAATTCGGACGGATAATTCCAGTTCTAATTCTTTAGAAAAAACTCCATATCCCCCTTCTTCTTGGTCTTGGGGCTTGCCACTTTCTACTTGACGCGATATTGTGTGGCCAATATTGGAGTTCAAAGAAAATCGTAACAGTATAATTTCCTGAGCAAGACGGTATATTTTTTATTCGTTAGGGAATTATTTCGATCTCAAGTACAAGCTTGGCTGGTTTATTAGATAAACTACTGCAGAGATTTATTATATACATAAATGCATGTAAGTAAGTAATATTCATAAAATATATGTACACTAACGGAAATAAGTATTGGCACAGCGAATTTTTCACAACATATGCAACAATTTTTATTCTAATATTTTTCCGCAAATATTTTATAAAAATATAAAAATATTCTACATTGAAAAATATAAAAATATGATTTTTAAACTTTGTGCAAAGCTCGCGAATATTCAATAAATTTTCAACTTTTAAATGAGTTTTTTTAGAATTTTTAGAGTATGCAGATTTGCAGCCCAATAAATTTTAGTGTGTTAAAGTGCAAGTGTGAAGTAGCTACGAATTACCGTTGATTTTTGGCAATTTTTTCACGCAGTTTCTTTCATACAAAAAAATAAATAAAATTTTGAAAATACTTTGTATGGAAAAAATGCAAAACAACTTTAACAAAAAAATTCTCAAAAAATCAATGAGATTTTGATTAACTCCGAACGTGCATATTTTATTCTAGAATGGGCTACAAAACTGCATACTCAAGAAAATTCTAAAAAATCTGATTAAAAAGTCGAAAATTTGCATGAAAATTTATAGAATTTTTGCGAGTTCTGCACAAGGTATAGAAATTACATTTTTATGTTTTTTGTATTAAAAAAAAAATACGAAAAAATATTAGAATAGAAATTGGTGCTTACATTGTGAACAACTTGCTGTGCCAATACTTTTTTCCGGCAGTGTATGAACATATTTCTACATATATGTGTGTGATTGGTATGTATACATACGTATGCGTGTGGATTTTTGTTTATAATGCATGTATGTATGTATGCACGATAAAATGTAGAGAAAACAATGAATGGGTTTCGGTTTACCAAAGCTTTTCTTAGCTACAAATGTATTTTTCTAAATAAGTATGTCTACCTAACTAATTATGTATGTACAAATGTATTCGAATACTACCAAGCAATACTAAATTAAACAACGAAAACAACATTGCATTATTGTTAGTATTTCTATGAATTAAAGTTTGATCTAAGAAGCTTCAAATGAGCAAGTACAAATCGAATTCTAGTTAATTGCACCGTGTGGAGAAAACTAAAAAAAACTTCAAAACACACGAAAAAATCAATGAATTCACGAAACTACGCGCCATATATAGTATAAATGCGTTTTTTGTTTTTTCCCTCTGACGTAAGGATTTTCTTTTAAAGAACTTTCATATTTCAAAAATTTCATATAAAAATTATTTAAAAAAATCATTGCAACGTTAAATAATAGTATGGGCACTAAATGCAAGAATAGTTTTTGCGTCATAAGGACGAATAGGTATTGAAAAAGCCTTATTATTTTGTCAATTTTTTCAATTATTATTATTTTTAATAAATATTGTAAATTTTTGGGCATGTACAAAGATAAAATATAAAAGGACAATTTCAATATTTCTAAGTTCTTGTGTAGCAAAGCCTTATTATTTATTTATTTTTTTAATAAATATTGTAAATTTTTGGACGTGTACAAAGATAAAATATAAAAGGCCGATTTCAATATTTATTCGTTCTTGTGTACCAATTTTTAATTTTATTTTTTAATTTCACAGAAATTTCAAAGAATAGTTTTTGCGTCATAAAGACGAATAGGTGTTGAAAATTTTTTTAAATTTTTTATTTTTTAATAAATATTGCAAATTTGTGGACATGTAAGGAGATACAACATAAAAGGACAATTTCAATATTTATTCGTTCTTGTGTACCAATTTTTAATTTTATATTTCATTTCACAGATTATTTTCTTTCATTTGGTGTCCATATACGTTGCACTGAATTTTTAAATAATATTTATATGATTTAATTTTATCCTTGTAAATTCTACAGGATTTTTTTTTTCATTTAATACCCATGTTACTACTCTATTTCGCACTAAAATTTTTGAATAATTTATTGAACTAATTAATCTTTGAAATTTCCAAGTCCTAAAAAAGCAAATCCTGAGGGCAGAGTGTAGAACTAAAAACGCAGTTTTTATTTGGCCCATTATTTCGGGAGTATATTGACTTTTTGGTGTGTAAAATTTACTGTCGTACGGTGGTATAGAAAAAAATTAAAAAAAAAAAAACAAAAAAAGTGTGTAAAAAATAAAAAAATTAGAAAAATCACGTATGAGGTCTTAAGCCTAAAATCCAAATTATCCAAATTTTAGAGTTAAGAATTTTAATACTATAAAACTAAGAGCGCTTATCTGTTAAAAAAAAAAAAAAATTTACTAAGACAGAATGTGATTTTTAAACTCAAATTAAAATAAAAAAAATTAAAACTTACATAAAAAGCCTAAGAAGCGGATGCGGTTTTAAGCAACAAGCAACAAAAGGAAAAGTAAGCGCAGGCGGTGAGTATATATGTACATAAGTATGTTACAAACAGCCATGCACTTTTTGAAACAAAAAAAAAAAAGGGTTTTGAAAAGGCAAACAGCCACTCATGCCAGCTATGTACATACTAAGTATGTATGTACAAACGTTCTCGAAATATTGCAACACATGCAACTTTTTTGTTCAGAAGCACAAATAAATTAAGCTTAGCATTTTGATAACTCCATTTTGAAAACGACTAATTAACAGAAGCGAAAATATATTTTCATTTTTATATATTTATGTATGTATGTAGTTTATATACAATATACTCAGCAGCGACAAAATAAGCAGAGAGAGAGAGAGAGATAAATAGAGACTCACTGCGTGCGTGTGCGCTAGTATCACAGGTCAAGTCCAATATACTTTACATATTTACGTATAGAGTTTATTTTACTTTACAATATTTTAATTTTAATATTTTTTCTGGATTTTAAATAAATTCATGTAGAGCTTTCGATTTTATTTAGTTCTAAAATAATTTTGCTTGAATTTCTGAAATGCAATAGCCAATGACTTAATTTTTTTTTCACTTTCGATAGCAATTGTTTGCTGGCAGATAAATACTGTTTCATGTGTGTAGCAATGGAGTTCGGGCAAGTTTAAGGCGAGATGCAATAAGAAATGTAAATATTTTACATATGTACAGACATTCATACATATGCATGTATGTAATATTAAAAGAAAATAAATTGTGTTTTAGTGTGTGGTAGAAACGCCAGTAGCGTGCATTTAAAATGTTGCACAGAATTTAGAAAACAAAACAAAAAATAAAATAAAAATATTTTTGAAACTTTTTGCGAAATTAAACGAAAGAAAATTGATCAATTGGCTTATAAAATTACAACAAATGTTTAAAAACAGAACAACGTTTAAATACAATGGTTGCCAATTGAGGATAATTAAAAAAACAAAAAAACAACTTAACAAAAAAACTAGCCTAAACTAAAAAAAAATTTAAGCAAAGCAAATATTGTTACTTAAATATCAATTTTATAAATCATTTTTAGATATCGCTTTGAATAGGCAAAAGTAATTTTTTTTTTCAAAAAAGCAGTTTAAGTAGTTAAAAGATTTTTAAAATCTAAAAAAAAATCTATTATTAAATTGGTTAGATATCATTTTATATACCATTTCAGTATACAAGTATATTAGTTTACTGCGATATTCATTACAAAACTATTACAAAAATCTTATATTTACGAGTATTTATTTAATGAAAAGAGTACTTTATTAGTAGCTAAAAGAATTGTGATAAAATTGTAAGAGGAAAAAGTTTGATAGTTTTTTTTAAGGTTTAAAATTAATTATTTCTAAGCATAGTGGAGAGGCTTAGTTTTCATTAACCCATTTACAGCCATATACATATTTGCGTACATAATTCAGTTACCATAAAATACAAGCAAAAATTAAAATATTCGTTCATAGTTTTCTTGTTTCTAATTTGTGTTTGTGAAATGGCTGGGAATTGTTTAAATAGTTTAGAGCTATTTATTTCAAAAACTTTAGGAATCATAAATGCTGCAAGGCGCAAAAAATGTATATAAAATTTAGAAAATTTAAGAAAATCGTTAAAAGATAATACATAAAACTAAGGACAAAATGCAATTAAAAAATAATTCTATTAATTTAGGGAAGTGTTTTATTTGTTGTGTCATCGTAAAATGTTTATAAATAAATCGTAAATTTTTCTCAGACAGTAAAGCTATTTAATGTAGGAAGCCGCGATTAAGGGTGACTTCGTAAATTTTTTTTGTAACATATCTACTATAATGCCGGATTTCCACTGGGTACTAAATTAAAAATAATACAATGACAAAGTTGGACAATAAAGTTCATTGTGCAAGAATAATAATCATTAATTTAGTTTCCAAGTGAAATTTGGGTAGTCCGAGAAAGGGTATCTATGGATTTTGGAACAGCTGGAGCTGAAACATTTCATTCCCCTTAGCTGCTTCTGCTTAAAATTAATTACTCCAACTGGCGATCTAAGGGTACCGATTAATTCAGGGTTGGATGAGATTTGCCAAGGTATCAAGCTAGCCATTTTCGATATTCCCATTTTATGTTTTCAAGCGCACCACCGACAGCTAATTTTCCAGCTCCGTTTATATCAGCGTACTCTATCAATCGTTCTGTTACCCTGTTGCAACACTTTAGCAATTCTTGCTTGTCTTTAGACTATGCTCTGGCTGGAGCACCCTCCCTGAGTTGACTCTATCGACGCAGTCAACCGGCTTCACCAGGCAGTAGCATACACAAGGAAAGGCAAGGCAGATAACTTTACCTCCCAAGATAGCGAGCATTTTCAGGCATACGAAACTCAAGCAAATGAATTATATCGTCACTACCGACTGCTGGATTGATGAAGTAGCCGTTAAAGCATTTAATGCTCTACAACTTCAGCTTTTATGTAAGTAAGCTGTGGCGAACCTGGAGGGGATTCGTCAAGCTCGGAGAAATGCAAGAGCCCTTTTTGGTCGGCAGTTAATGCCGTATCCCTTGGGGTATAAGTCCATAAGGTTGCAACGACATATCCACAAATAAAACCTGGAAAATTAGCCCGCAAAAGGTGATTCATATCGACCTTAAAGTGCACATCAAACCCCCCTGCACTTAATGCCACAAATATGCAGGAAACTCGCGGCCTTAAGCAAAACAGCCCGTGTGAGAGCACTGCCTTAAAAGCGCAAGGCATGTTAAACGCTTTTGACATTATTTACGGTTCCACACTACTAGAGGAAGCTGAGATATTCTCTAAACCACATCTACTAAAACGGCGTACAGCGATTTATTTACCAGTGTTGTCCACATTTGGCTGTAATATTTAGAGAAGCATTCAAGAACTAAATAAAGGGCGGTGGCCTTTCCCCACTACAGTTTAGCTTCTACTCCTTAAAGTTGAATTTAGCCACTAAGGAGAGTTTCGCAGGTCACTAACCCCGACGATGTTCCCATGTTGGTGTACGGAAGTGGCATTGCTGGCCTGTGTTTGAAAGTAATCGGTCATTTTGGTGTTTCAGCGCATAACGCCTTATCCTCTACGTTAAATACACTAATCAAATGGAGTGACACGAAGTTTGGGCACTCTAGAATTTTGAAAGATCTTCCAGAGGACTTTAGGCGCCTGGACTACACAGTCCCTCCTAGACTACTGTCATAGCTGCCGCCAAGGGGAGGAAATCGCCACTGTCCTGCTCTGCCGAGAGCTCGCCGATGCTCGTTCCTCCATTATTCTTCTGAATTTCTGGCCGAACTGGATTCAGCCAGTGTCTATGACTTTGTGCGAGATAACCCGATCTAACCTAACATATCCTCTGCATTAAAAAATCATAACCGTTCCGTTTTGTCATTTAGAGGAAGAAGGTCAAGCATCCATGTCGACAACTACTGCACTTGAAGTGGTACAGGCAAGACATAAGCGGAATTCACCTAGAGACATCTGCCTTTCAAACTCGCGCTCCGTGCATGCAGTCATCGCAAACGGTCTACCGTCGCAGGTGAAGATCTTCAGCTATCGCGAAAGACCCGTGTATTTCCGACGTAACTGGGATCAGGCGCTTGTAGATCAGTGTCGGCGAAAACGCGCAAATTCAATAGTTTTGGCTACGTGTCCTCACATCACCGCTAACGATTTGGAAGGGTCTTACACCGGCCAGCTTTGTGAGCAACGAAGGTTATTCCGTAAAGCATTGCCTATGTTGATACACAGGTGATTTGAAGATAGGTGAATGCATTGACGCCGCCATTTTGGAGCCTAGGAAATGAGAGAAGTACACTCCAAGCATGTGACTTGATAGCGCCAGTATCAAGGGAGCGGTATAATAGGAAACTTATTAGCTTGTCTAAAAAAACTAAGCTTTTCAGTAGATTCTCGTGCATCAACAATCCATTGAAGACCAAAAAATTATCTATAAAATCTCGGAATCCGGTGGAACGTTTCTTGCTGTTTCTGTGGCATTTCTGTTAACACCTCTGAGCATTAGCTCCGGCAAGACGGCAAGAATGCCTGGGTTTATCCACTCTGAAGCTAAAACATATACACTATCTTTCACCAACTAATCTACTGGAGTTCTTAAATGTGCTCGAACAGGAAGAGTTATTGTTCAGAGTAAGGAGGCACATATCCATCTAAATCTAAGTATGATTTTTGTAGTGCTTTTCTTCTATAAAATTGGAAGGGAACAATTGCTTATATGAGACACAAAGTTGGTTCCACAAGTGGGTTCGCTAACTGAAAAAAGATTCGCCCTGCTAAGATGTGGGTAATGTGGTGTGGAAGATGTAAAAAGCCAGTTCCTGCGAGGTATATTTTCTATACAAAGAAGTTAAAGCTAAATAGGTAAAAAGTCTAAAAGGTTTGAAAGTGTTGTTCTTTTTATATGTTGTTGTGTATGCACCTTATGTTTGATTGCATGTTCGTGTTATGATTGTGCTCATCATTGCTCATTCAAGATTTTTTTTTATGAAGTACGCAAGTTAGTAAGTACATAATTATTAGAAGTATTGCTGATTAAACTTGATTTTAGTTTTGTTAGAGTTTGTTGTTAATATTTGAGCGTTTTTATTGGTTTCAGTTACATACTACATACTTTGTCTGGACTCACCGATGGTCGCAAGCGCACACAGTGCTTTCCGAAAGCGGAAAAGGGTCCCCACCTCTCTACAGGTGAATTACTCACATGTGATGCTTCCGTATTCGATGTGTCCTGAGTGCGATAAATGCCAATCGGTATTTCACAAGTTGTCGAACAGAGTTTCTGATACAGTCGACCATAGGTGCGTATCCACATATCATCTTTGGTGATGCGCATCTGTGGGGCGGAGAAGGATAATTTGTGAGTCTATTATTATGCACAAATTTGCTACAAAAATAATAAAAAAATGGGGCATTCCACGCTAAGCCGGATAATTTTATTACTTATTTAATGCATTTTATTTGAAATGTAGTAAAATTTTATGTTCATAAAAATATTATCAGATTTTAAATAAGGTCATCCATAAATGGAAGTAAAATCAAACAAACAGAACGACGCGCCAGGATAGACACCGCATATTAAGCAGAGCTGACTCGCCGCGCTGCAGTTGGTTTTCCAGGTCTAAAGCCATACTGTCTGAAGGAGACTCATCCGGCATTATCGATTGCTGTTGCAAGACGACGTGCTCTCTCTACGAGAGCTTGCCTGCTTTCATAGTTGCCAACTTGGTGCTTTAAGCACTAGATTTAGTGCTTTGGCGCTACAACCGTTTTTCGGTTTGAACTGAGGCAGTAAAATACGCCAGTTACCTCTCTTCATGGCGAAGTTGCGCTAGTTGTTCATTGCGAGTTGAGACAAGTCCTTTTGCGCCTGGTCAATTCATTGTGTAGGTCATCCATGTTCTCTTTATGATCCAGTCAGCGTCATCGTTTTATTTTTATGCGCTTTACTATGTCCTTACCATTAAAAACCCCATACAGGTCATTCTATCTTTTTCGGTACCAGTCGACCGCACGGATATGGTAATAGATCTTGCGCAGAATAGCTCTCCCGAAAGAATCCAAAGCCTTCTCATATTTGTTTGCTATCTGAAATGACTGGTATGATGAAAAATTTGTAAAGCGTAATTTTCGTTCGTCGAGGGAGAGAGCTCTGGTTTTCATTGACCTACTGATCCCAAACTGGCACCTACTGCCACAAGTAATTCTTCGCTTGATTTCCAGGCTGACAGTGGACCCTAGGTAGACAAAGTCTTTCGTTTGAAACCTCGTTGTGTCTCAAACGGCTCGGGGAGGCCCTTTTCAATTGAATTTTTTAGGTATGCTAAGAAGGAATGATTCGCAAACAGCGGGATCTCTCTTCTTGTGGATTGCTGGTTATTTGGTTAAAAATTTTTATTCTAGAATAATAAGTTTTTGGCGTTCTACTGTCTCTGTATGGCGTCTCTGTGTAATTACAGCTCGAAAAAAAAAATTCACGTTCAGCCGGATTTATCTTTGAATGAATTCCCTCCTGGGGCAGCTGCGGTAGCTTCATTTTTGTTATTGGCGATTTCTAGTGGCAATATCTCTATTGCTGATGCTCTTCAATTTATTCGCCGTTGTGAGTGTGCCAGGCACCAAGAACCAGGACAAAGCCAAAACATAAACAACATTTCAACTAAAGCTATACGACTAACTTTAGACCACTTAAAAGCTATGAAATTTTCATTATTCTACCTTTGGCGTGAATAGCCCCATTTCAGTATTTATTTCGTCAAATATTTTCTTACCGAAGTCAAAAAACCGCTACCCGGTGCCTGATCGATGCCCAACAGCAGGCGTACAAACGTAATCACATAGTCCTTGACGAACGCCTGATAGAGCAGCGTATCCAGCATGGAGGCGCTAAAAACTGCGCCGGCAGCGAAAGGCAAACGAAACATATACGAGATGTGCGAGCCACGCTCCTTTTCACGCTGTGAAACGAAACGGTAAACCGAAAAGTAAAACATTTTGTTTTTGGAAAATTCCCTTCTATTAAATATTTACATTTCATATTCGTACCTTCTCCATTTTGCTCAGATGCAGCGCATATTTGTCGTGCGCACGAAATTGCATAAAGCGCATATTGGAGCTCTGCGATAGTTCTGTAATGCTTTTTATGCTCGGAAAGAATCTAGAAAGGCGATGAGTATTGTACGAAAAATAAAATTTATAAAAAATTTGTGAAAGCGCATTCAAGTGCAAATAATTGTTTGACGAGTCTGCTACACTCACTTGAACATTGTCTGCACAGCAACAATGGTATTGCAATCGGCCAGCGAATCCTCCTCCGCTGAGTTAGACAGCTCCTTATTCACCACCACCACACTCTCGGCAAGGGTAATGCCGGCGCGTAGCAGGTCATCCAAGCAATCGATTGAACCGAGCATCCAATACACCTAGGAGGGCGAGTAAAAAATTGAAAATTATTAAAAAAAAAAATAAAAATGAAAAATCACACAATTTATGTCTGTATAGATGAATAAAGAAAAATGAAATATGTATGTATGTATGGATGTATACAGGGTATCCTAGACCAGTTGTGTACCCGTTCTAAAATGGGAGGAATTTGTTTTTTATTGAAAAACCTCTAAAATATGACCTTCCAAATCGGGGCTGCTCTATCTTTTGGATGTACATAAGTTTTGTCGGAAACTAGTTTCTGGAAAGAATGGGCCTCCCTGACTAGGTAATTCATGTTTTTCCTTTTCCAATACAAATATTTTCACTCCTTTCAAAAGTCCAGGCCAACCTGAAGCTCGAAGTTCTTTTAGAGATTGGAAAAAGTACTTTCAGAGAAAAAGTTTCAAAGAAAAACTACATCTTTTTATCCTCAGAATCCGAATTTGCAGTAAAAACATGCATTTCTAATAAAAAAAAATAACTTCTGATCAATTTAACCCATTTCCTATCGAAACCGCAAATCGGTAATACCACCAACAAATCGAGCATCCCTGATTTGGTAGATCCCATTTCTTGCATTTTTCAATAAAAAATATATTTCCCTATATTTTAGAGGGGTTGGATGGGTGGTCTAGGGTACACTGTATATAAACATAAAATATTGTAGAACATTTAAAAAACTTTACTTTCTTCTTGCACTTTTTAGCTCACTACCACCTTAGTGCTCTTTGGCAATATTGATAATCTGACACCTACCAGTGGAAAGTACGAGAGTGCATCGAGAAAGGCCACATCCGGTCGACGCTCCAACAACAATATAATCGGATTTAACGACGTTTTCGAACGGAAATGTGCACGTAACGGTATGATGAAGTTGTAAATGCCATTCGATGCATAATCGGCTGCCAGTATAATCGTCTTGTTTTGCCATTGATACTCCTTGGCATTGCGATAGCTACAGTGCTCACAAACCTACATAAGCATAAGGAAAAATTCATATGGTTATGTATGTATATATTGATCAAGATGTACGTACATACATATTATGTACGTGTGTATATAAGATTGGGTCGAAAATCCGCTTTTTTTAGAAATTTGATTGGTAATAGCAAAAATATGTTTCATAATGCTAATCTGGCTCGCCCAAGTCCATCAAGGTTCAGGTGCTAAAAAAATTGTCGTAGCTTACTTAGATTCTCTATAAAAAGGTCCATATACCAAATTATGTAGGACTAACACTTTCGAAGATATTTTTAGTAAAAAAAAATGTATTAATTAATGCATTTATACATTTTTATTTTTTGAGCATATTGAATTTTGATGAACTTGGGCGAGCCTAAGTTATTTATCAAAAATTTTCATCTTTCACACAGCTTATTTTTAGAGTAAAATGAACCATATTTTTGCTAATAAAAATCAAAATTCTAAAAAAGAGGATTTTCGGCCCACGCTAATGTATATACAGTGGCTCAAACAATAATTGTTGGGTTTTTTTAATATTCACAATACTTTTCAAATTAACATATTTTTTTATTCTTTTATAAAAAAAAATTTGTTTATGTATACAGAATGTAGAAAAAATCAAAAAAAGCTCATTAACATTAGATAACTTTTAAATCACTTGTTTTAATTAAATTCCGTTTCATTATTTTGTGTTAATTGTTTTGAAATTTAGTCATTTGATTTGACACCTCAAATTCAGTACCTCCAGGAGCACTTTTTAAGACATCTTTAATTCTTAAAATTTCTAGTTTATTTCTTGTTTTATTCAAATTGATTTGGGAAAATATTTCTTTCACATTTGCAGTGGTGACTGGAATGCAAAGGACAGCTGAAACCATTTGTTCCTTGTTTTATCCTAGCATTTTACTTACAATAAAACCAAAAGCGAAAATTTATTTTCTTCGTTTAAAGCGCAAATTCCGAAAAAACTGTAATTTATAGTTAAAACTGTGAATCTGGCAACATTGTTGTCGATACAGAGTTGCACCTGTTAATTTGCTAGGTTGTTGCTCATTAGCACCGCCAATATTATGGCCAATACTTCCACCTGGAAAATGCTGCAGTAGTTCGGCAGCTATTTTATATGCATTTTGGATATGTGGCAACTCTTTTGTATAATTTTTTTTAAATAACTATTTAACTAAATTTTTGAGAAAGAGCTTTCCTTAACTTCTTTCGTTTGACACCCGTATGGTAATGCTTTTGACCTCTCATTTAATTGAGCTTTAACATTCCTACTGTTGGCAACCCTCTCCAAAAATATTTTATACATAAATTTTACTTACACCCACTATCCGTTGTTATACATAAAAAAATATTTCAATTCGCTTGTTAACCAAAATAATTTCGAATTATTAAACGGGTGGCAACAATCTTCTAAAACATAAATATTAAAAAATTTAATTTAACTTATTAATAAAATTGATTTTAACTATTTGAGCAGGTGGCAACCTCCATTAAAAATATTCTAGAACCAAAGCTTAGTAAAAGCTCTATCTTTTGATACCAATTTTAAAATATTTCGTTTAAATTGTTAATTAAACTGGATTTGAATTTATAAACAGTAGGCAATCCTCTTCAAAAATATTTTCGAAATAAATAATTTTTGAATCTTTCTCCTTTGATGGACATATTAAAATAGTTTATTTTAATTCTTAATACCAAGTTCCAGTACTATTTAATGAGCACTTGCAGGTGGTGCCACGCCCCCTTGATACATACATCGAAATTTTTTTTTAGCCCATAACCATCCCTAGAAAATCCGTAGTGGGTATTCAAAATTGTAAAGAAATCGGTACAGCCATTCGCGAGTTCACCTCTTACAAACAAAGGAATAGTAGATTTAACCAAAAAATTTTAACTTGAAAAACATGGTGAATATTAGAAAAAAATCATCGCGTTAATGCTTGTTTGAGTCACTGTACTATAATAGATAATCCTTAAACATATTTGTATATGTAAGTAGTAGGAAAAGTGTAGTAATATTGATTTTCATTTCTCACCTGCGCCAGTTGCAGGCAACACAATGGTTTTTTCTCTTTTAGCAAATAACACAGCGTCGGACTGACTCCGATGAATGGGGAGACGGGCGGGAAACCCTTAACGATGCTGTAAAAAAGTATAACGAAACGAAGACATACATATATACATACGTATAATGATTTTGCAAGATTTGTGTTACAGGTATTTAAAAATTGCATTAATTTTTCTTATCCAGGGAATATAACTGCAGAACTTAAGTAATTTTTAAAACACGCTCCATTAGTAGCAATCATTGAACTATTTAAATGAGGTAAATACCTTAGGGAATATAAACATTAATTAAAGTGCACTTAAGGAAGCGGAAAGGAGTGGAATAGTGTGGTGTTAAAAAAAAAAAATGCTAAGCAGTTTCATACACAGTAACCACATTGCAAATAATAAAAAAAAAAACATTGAAAACAATTTTCACAAAACATAAAGTTAGTACAAGGAACACTTGCAATTTTATTGTAACTTTTCTCAACTCACTACAATAATGCTGTGCCCAAAAAATCATACATAAATATTACAGAGGCAACATTTATATATAAGTACATACATATATAACTTTACATTCCATCATAAATATGTATGCAACACAAATAATTGGGTTTACAAATGCATTATGTTTATGTTTAAATACTACAAATCTTAAGAATAACTCGTAAATATACATATACTTTCATATAAAATATTTACTTAGTTTAAGACGCTTAAGTATTCTTTCAATTTTTAAGAGTGGCTTGGGTGCCGTAGTTTTGAAAGCCCTCGCACCTCTCACAGGTATAGACATATTTTATGCCAATCGGAGTGCGTTATTGAACTGAATATCAAAAACAGGATTTCTCGTAGTTGTCGGCGTACATCAAGGGTAGTTCAGTCAAAGGCACCCTATTCACGATTACGAGTTCATACATACATAAACACTTCACTGTGAACGCTTTTTCCGACTTCTAGTGGTTCTCGGTGGTAGCCATCTAATCTCTGGGTTTCCTTCTATATGGGTTTCATTATATATGGAAAGCTCTCGCGCCTATCGCAAAGGGAAGGGGGTCAAAAGACAAGGTGATGGGAACTCTCTCATCTAGTTATTTCCAGGCTCTATGAAATTATAACTAAAGTTCTTATTTTTTATGGAGTACTTGACTGCATTAGAGAAGACTAAGTACGCTGGTCAGTCAGTGGCACTTAGGACCACTCACATTTTTTCTCTTTGCGTAATGCTTAACGTAGCGTCCATCGGCTTTGTAGGTTAGGTTTCTTAGAAAGGGCTACTGTAAGACTTATGGCCACTGGGCGCTTTGGATTTGGAGGTTAATTCTTACTCGGAATAGTTGAAGCTTGATGAATGGGAATTTAGGGAACACTCGATTGGATGCTCAATTGTGTAATGTCAACAAGGAAGGTAAGTATCTTCCTCCCAAGCGGAAATAATAAAGGAATGTCTGACCTCTCTTTAAGTAGCACCTAAAATAAGTCACAGCGGTTGTTCTCAGCAGGCAAGTTAGAATTCTTCCGAGTGTACTTCTGCCATGAAAAAGCTTCTCATTAAAAACCATTTACTGTTCTCTACTCTAGATTAAATGTTCCTTATTTTAGCTCAGTGAGATCTGGGCGGTAATCAGGTCAAGTACAACCGTAAGGTTGATCCGAGTTGAAGTTGACTCCACGGAGAGAACGCGCATCAAAAAGGCCCCAAGTGTCTCTTCCGCCTATTGCAATATGATAAATGTGATTCTTCATTTTTTAATCAGAACAGGTGCTGGTGAGTCGAAGGATTACACTTTTGATTGAGCCTGAATTGAGTACGACAATTTTAAAATACCAAAAATAATTACACCTGGCTAACTATACAAAACAACAATTCAGAGATTCACACCTATCTATTACGAGTAGGTTTTCAAAAACTTTTAAATAAGGCTTTTTTGTCTTTCACTAACAAATTAATTTGGTTTATAATAGCGAAATTCGTGCCAGCCATATAAACATTAAATACTAATATATGTAATACCTTAATTATTTATTAGTAGCTATACATATACACTAGGCGACAAATAAAAGTGTACACCTTGTTCTAATATAATATTCACAATTATTTTCATGAAAAATTTTTTCATTAATTATTTTAAAAATAAAGTTCATTCTATAATATAAACCATATAAAACAAATAAACAAATTTTTTAATTTTTATTCAGAGTTTCTAGAAAATTTTCGCGTAGTCGGATTTGTAGTCCATTAAATTTTAGTCTAATGAAGTGCAAGTTTAAAATGGCTAAAAAAACCCGTTGAGTTTTGAGAATTTTTTTTGGTGACAGATTTTTGCATTTTTTTCATATAAGCATGAATTTCTTATGAAATAAAATGTTTGGTCTGCAGTATAAATAAAATTCAAAAAAAAAAAAAATCAACGCCAGTTTTTGTAAGTTGCTCTTGTTATATAAAAAAATCGAAAAGGGCAGTCTCAAAATAAAAAAATAAAAAAATAGCCCGCTGAGACTTGAATTTCTTAGACTGGAATTGAATGGGCCAAATAACTGCATAATTGAAAATTTTCTAAAAATTCTGAAAAAGTTGAAAATTTTGAAGATTTTTTTTTTCAATTCTAGTTTATATTATAGAATGAGCTATAATTTCAAAATAATTAATGCAAAAAATGTTTCACGAAAATAATTGTGCATAATATATTAGAACAAGGTGTACACTTTCATTTGTCGCCTAGTATACACTTATGTGTGTATGTGTTTAGTATAATAGTATATTAGGCATATAACCAAAAAAATTAAATGTTAGTATATAAATTAATTAACGCTCAACTACTTTTCGTCTTAATTTTTCATTTAACCAACACATATGCAAGCCAGTTATCTCATGTGTGTGAGTGTGCAATTGTATGTCTGAACATCACATTTGTATGTGGTTGTGTTTATCTGTTGTATCAGCATTTCAAAAAGCCTCATACGGCGCGGTTCAATAACGGAAGCTTATCAACCAACTCTTCTTTTCTTTTTTTTTTTGGTGAAGTAGAAGAAGTAAAACCGGCAACGTCAAAAAAAAAAACAACGCAAAACTGCAGCAGGACACACGTCAAATAAACGATGGGTACGAGAAGAACTTAGTATGTATTTTGTAGATGAATATTGTTGAATAGGTGAGACCACAATGACGCCGCATGCCATACTTACCGTAAATAATCCATTGCCCAGATGGGACGCGACGGCTTGCCGCCCGATGTGGAGCTGCTCGAAGTGACAGCAGTGCGTTGGGTGCCAGTCGTCGTCGAGCAGGTGGTGGTCGTCGCCGTCGTGGCCGGTATCCAGGTGTTGGTTGAACATAGCGAACAATAAGTGTCGGTGGCAGCAGTGGCGGCAGTGGCGGCATCTACATTGCCATCAATGCATTGAGCGAGTGCGCGATTACGCCTCACAAAATTGCATGGCAGTACACGACGGCAATCGCTATCGCAGCTAAAACTTTTCGCAAGCATACGATAGCGTGACTCGCTTTGTTGTAGTTGCGGTTGACTGGCACAGCAGCTGTGATTATTTGAATCTTCCGAGGAGCTCATGATCAGTGAATAGGTACGCGATTGCGGAAAATGACCACTCAGGGCACTTGGGGGGGTGGGAAGTGGAAAATAATGGTTGAATAATAGTTGGTGGGTAGGTAAGCGATGAAGAGTGTCAATATTAGATAATATAAGCTGGGTTTTTGCCATAAGGCGATAAATCTAACAATTTTACGATCTCTAATGTTGTTTTTTGTTTTGTTTTTAAAATCGAAGATATGTATCTCATTTACACCCGTAAGGAGAAATGTATTTTAGGCGCAGTTGACAGCCTCCAATTATGTAAGTAGTTATGCATCGGTAAAGTCTTATGTTTGTATTCAGTTTTTTACTAACCTCTCGTAGCGCTCTTATCGTATATACACATACATATATACAATATTCGAATTTCTTTCTCTCATTTACATAAAAAAAAAAATGTACTTAGAATTTACTTAGCTTTGGCACAAAGACACCTACTCGTTGGCATACAATTGATTACAATACAGGACAACAAGTGGGGGAATAAAACAAATACACACACCATCTCCATTCAAAAATCAAAAACAACACTATTTATAAATGTAGATCGTGACATTTATGTATGTATGCTGTTTCTATGCAGTTGTAAAAAACACTGAGTGTCCAAATTTACAAAACAAAAAAAAAAACAAAAACGCTATAACCAACGGCTTGCCAGGACTAAGTAGAAGGAAGTTATTTAGTCTATTTTATATAGGAGAAAGAAAAACGTATTAAATGGATTTTGTGAATTTATGGATTTGGGTGCATACAGAAATATACAAGTACCATACATATACCTACATATGTACATATTATTAATATTTTTTTTTTAATATTTGTGTAAAATTCATATTAACTTACGCTATTTTCTCGGACGGCGATCGCCAAGGGACATCATCGTCGATTTCGTCCTCACTTTCATCGCCTTCTTCGCCATCATCGTTGCCTGATATGCTAAAAGAAGATGAGGTGAACATATCCGGTACTGGTAATATAGATGGCCGACGACTTCCTAGAATGTTCAAGGTATTAGAAGATAAAAAGAAATTTTTTTTTAAATATAATTTATGTTTCTACATATGCATAAAGCTAAGTGAAAAGTATGGCAAATTGGGACTAGCAAAGTAATTACACCGGACCCTATATATTCGCTTCTTAACAGGGTTTTCGCATTCGTTAAATTGCTTGCTTGCTGTAGCGTTAAAAGACGAGCATACCAACGAAAGGCGGGAAGGCACTTACATGTTTCCTGACCAACAGCTGTTTGAAAATTCTGAAAATCAACAAAGAGGCCGAAAAGATACGCCACCCTAGGCGATGGGGATTGGGCTGCTTGTATCTACCGACAAGAGTCACAACAATAACACCAACATAGATGCTGCCACAAAATTGCGAGCCAGTTTAACAGAAGGCGCGGAGGTCAATGGCGTGAATCTTCAAAACAATGAGCTCACTTTGCCAGAACTCATGCTTACCTCGGAGGGGGAAGCTTATGACATAGGCCTAGTGCAGGAGCTATGGCGCTCAAATGGAGATATGGTCTCTGGGCTAAGATTACCCGCCTTGAAAACGTATGCAGGTACTCTGCGAACCAAGAAGACAGAGTAAGATCTACAGAAATGGTAGGGAAAACACTATATCCATACGATCTAGTGACAGGTAGTAGAGAGGACATCTACCAACAGGATAGTTGAAACGACAGAGTTGGGTTTTTATTCCGTTATATAGTATTTCAAAATACATAGATTCGCTAAAAGAGGCAATGCACACATTTTTTTTTTAATCAAATTTTAGCAACTCTGGGCAGACGGTAGGGATGAGCGATACCGATACGATATTCAATATATCAATATCAAGGTTCAATATATCGGTGAATTAAATCGATATTAGGAGTTTTGATTCGATATCGATACAATATTTTGTTTCGATATCTGAAATACCGGATATGAATTCGCCGCCTACTGCTCTACTGCTAATGAGTACACTCAGTTGCATGATTTTAAGACCGCCAAATATTACAAAGTTTTGACTATTTATTTTCATATTTTTTATTCAACAAGACGCCATAGCTGGGATCGTTGGATCGAATCACAGTGGAAGAAGTCTGATAAAGAGATGTGGTGATAGCTTTAAATTCTACCAAAAATGTAAATTATGTTTTTTTTTACAAAAATTTTCATTAAAAACGGCCTCAAGCTTAATAAAATTGTTGAATATAATTGTTATAAGGCCATAAATAACAAAAATAAATTCATATTTTTTAATTTCAATTATTTTCTTATAAAAATATATGTACATCATTCTATAACAAACACTATACAAATCCACATTTCAACCTTTGTGCAAAAATTCAGCGAATTTTCACCAAAGCTTAACAATTTTTTTTTAGGAATTTTTGGAAAATTTTCGCGTATGCAGTTTTATAGCCCATGCAATAATAAAGTGCGAGTTTTTTGTGGCTACAAAATACTGCTGATTTTTGGCATTTTCTTTTTGTTGGCGGTGTTGTGCAGTTTCTTTCATATAAAAAAGTTTTCGAACATACTTTGAAACACACATCGATTTACATCTTTTTGAATAATTTTTATCTCGCTTCCGACACGGAACTGTTTTCGTACAAAATTACGCAAAAGCCCTGTAAATTTCTTACTCGCTCGCTTTTAGGCATGCCATTGTTACGAATTTCGAAAATACGATTCGGATTACAGCATACCATTTCTACGATTTATAGAAAAAATCGAATACGAAAGAGTTGCAGAATAGTGGTGTATGTTTTTGGTGTAGTATGAACTAAATTTTTATAAAAAATTTTCGAAAATAAATTATAATAAAAAACCTTGCACATATTGAGAAAAATTCACTCTGATAATACTTTTGTTCGTCACTGTATATCAGCGCTTTGAAAGTTTTAGTCTGAGTTTTATTTTAGGGGTCAAAGTTTGCCCCCTCTTCACATTCTAATTGTAGACATTCGATGTGTTCAGCGCTTTTATATAAAAAATGACAGATAATATTTCTGTGGAAAATTTTTACCGCCTATTCAGTAGGGTCTACGGTCTTAGAAAAAGAAAAAAAATAATTGTAAAACCGGTATATAACGGGTCAAAATGTTCTACAAAAATATTTACCATCAAATTTTACTATAAGTCTCTGAAAACAACAAAGCTCGAAATTCATCTTAAATGCGAGCAATAAGTCTAAACTGAAAATGTGCTTAAGGGTTAATTTTGTACTACTCCGAATTTGTGTTAAAATCTCTAAATGCTTAAATTATAATTGGCTTAGTACAGTCAAACATTGCCGCATTTCACTCGCCGATGCATATCGAAAATCTGTATTACGGTTACTGCGTTTGAAAATCGCTTTGAATACTCATTAAAATTATTTGAGTAAATCACACTCCTTTCAATGCTCACTCGCTATCCTCCCACTCCCTTAATTTCTCTATTTAGGTGTCTATCACTACAAAATCCCAACTCACCTCTTCGCTGATTGAGCACATCGGGACTAAGCAGATTTGGATTTCCAGCTTGTGGCACATCTAGATGATTGCTGGTGGCTAGTGTAGCGCTCGCAACACTCAAGCCACCTCCTCCACCGCCACCACTATGGCCGCCGCCGCCCCCCAAGCCATTACCGCCACCACCACCGCCGCTGCCACCACCGCCCATGCCCAGCATTGGCGGTATCGTTGTGGTGACAGTGGTGGTTGTAGTTGCAGAGGGTGTTTGCGTTGCATTCATCGATGTCACCGTTGTATCCTTGAGATTCTGCTTCGAATCTGAGATTATCACAGACGTTAGATTATCAGTAGCTGTTTGTGGAATGCATAGAAGAGAAAAATATTTTCATTTATTGACTTTTTAAATTTTAAAGCGATAAGTGGTTTTTTTATGTTTTTTGAATTTAAAGCTATTTGTCGATGCAGAAGAATGAAATGTGTGTTTTTTTTTGTTGATAGACATACAAATACAGCGAAAAGCATTTGTTAAGAAATATTTTATAGGTATGTCGGATTTGTATGGCTATGTGGGAATTATTTACATATGCACTTTTCGAATAAATGCTCTTAAAGATCCACACAAATTTTTTCTAGCTATGTACATACATAAATCTCAGCGAAAGCAAAGAAGATAAAAAATGTACGAAAATATGCATTTACTACATCGAACATTCAAAAGCGATTATAGGCGGAATTATAGGAGGAAGGTGTTGAATAAGTAAAAATTTGAAGAAGTAGAAAAATGGTAAGCAAAATAAGTGAAATGCAGAAAGAAGTTGTTTTTGCGTTAAAATCGATAACAGTACTTGCGCGTTTAAATTTAATGATCGCTCGATTTTCAAAACTGGGGTGCAAAATTAAAGCGCTTGGCGTGTAGATATGCAATAAAGCTTTATTTTTTCGAAAGGAGTTGCCACCTGATAAAAAATTGCATTTAAATAATTTAATAATCAATGTCAGCAGATCCACACCGTTTGTTCGATTTTCAAGAGTGAGGTGCCAAATTAAAGAGCTGTGGCTGTAGGTGTGCAATAAGGTTTAACTTTTTCGAAAAGAGTTGCCACCATTTAAAAAATTAAGTTCAAATTATTTTAAAAGCTAAACCAATTATTATAAAATGGGCATAAATGGAAATAGTTTTGAAAATATTTGTTTCTTAACTTAACTTTGTGAGGGTTTCCACCTGTTAAAAAAATCAAATTCAATTTGAATTGGGGGAATTAGGTAATAGAAATATGTATTTGTGCCAGACGGTAAAGGTTAAGTATGTAGTAGTTTGTAAACATTTTGAAGAGGGTTGCCACCTGTGTGAAAAGTCTAATTTATATGAAGTATAAAAATATGGATGTCAAGCGAATGAGTGTTAAGAGATCTTTAGTTGGAACGTTTAGAATATTTTTAAAGTGTTTGAAGAGGGCTGCCATCTGTTTAAAAATTAGGTTCGAATTGTTTAAATGGTTAAATCAATATTTGCTAATTGGGTACCAAGCGCAGTAGTTTTGAAAATACTTTATTTCTTAACTGCGTGTAGGAGGGTTGCCACCTGTTTAAACAATAAAATTTAATTTGAATTAAGGCAATGGGGTAATTAAAATAGGTATAACAATATGGGTGTCAGACGAAAGAGATTTAAGATGATTTGAACATATTTTTAATAGGGTTGCCACCTGTTCGAAAAGTCGAATTTTATTCAATTATCGATATAAAACAAAAAAGTGCTACGAAATCTTAGTTTGCACATTGAGAATATATTTTATGAGTTTGAGGAGGGTTGCCACCTGTGTAAAAAGTTAAATCCAAATTATCTATTATATATAATACGCGAAGGCATTTTTTGTGCAGCCTAAAAGATCTGCACCGTTCGTTCGATTTAATTTTTTCGAAAAGAGTTGCCACCTGGTTAAAAATTGCATTCAAATAATTTAATAATCAATGCCATCACATCCACACCGTTTGGGCTTAGGGTGTAGATGTTCAAGAAGGTTTTACTTTTTCGAAAAAAGTTGCCACCTGTTAAGAAATTAAGCTCAATTTAATTAAAATATTAAATCAATTATTAAATATGGGTATCAATCGAAATGGTTTTGAAAAGGCTTTATAACTTAACTACGTATATGAGGGTTGCCACATGTTAAAAAAATGTAATTCAATTTTAATTAAAGGAATTTGTTAAGTGAATAAGGTATCGCTATATGGGTGTCATGCAAAAGAGGTTTAAGAAGGTAGTAGTTTAAAAATATTTTGAATAGGGTTGCCACCTATATGAAATATTAACGATGGATGTCAAATGAAAGAGCTTCAAGAAATGCTTAATTAGACAATTTAGAACATTTTTGATGTGTTTGAGGGTTGCCCCAGTTCAAATGGCTAAACTAAATTTATTTAATAAGTTAAATGAGTTACTAACCGATGGTTATAAATGGAAATGGGTTTAAAATCCTTTATTTAAGAACTAAATTGAGGAGGATTGCCACGTGTTTAAAAATAAATTTCCACCTAATTCATCAGTTATGTGAAATTTTAGTTAGAAAATAATTTTTAAGATGGTTGCCGCCTGTTTTGAAAGTGGTATTTCGTTTAATTATACATAAGTCACATTCAATTTTAAAATCGGGTTATCAAAAGAACGAGTGTTAAGAAATCCTTAAGCTGAACATTTGGTGTTTTTTTTTTAAACAATTAAGCTCAAATTATTTAATAAGTTAAATGGATTGTCAAAAGATGGGTATCAATCGAAATGGGTTTGAAAATAATTTACTTCTAAACTGTATTTAGGAGAGTTGCCATATCCTTAATAAATTCAATTCAACTTAATTCATCAGTTAATTGAAATATGTGTAACAATGCCAGGTGAAAAATTTTTGTTTGAAAATACTTTTAAAGGGGTTGCCACCTGTTCGATAAGTCGAATTTGTTTTACTTATACGAAAGATACATAAATGCAATATCGAAATATTAGTGTCAAACGAAAGAGTTTTAAGAAAACTATATGCTGATAACATTTTTAATTAGAGTTGCCATCTATTTTTTTTTTGAAGGTCATCACATCTACACCGTTATTTCGAATTTCCAAAATGAGAAGTCAAATAAAAGAACTAGGATTCTACATAGATGTGCACAGGTTTTATTTTTTTAAGTTACAGGGAGATTTGAAATTTGATGAAATGAAAACCGACACCATACTACACTATATATTAGTATAGATAACGAATGAAATACATTTTTTAATTAAATAAATATGTCCTATTGAAAAAAGTTTATGGATATTTTTTTAAAGAACTGCCGACATTTGAAATAAATTTCAAGTATTTTCCAAAAAAATGGAAGCGTGAATTTTTTATTCTTTCATTTTTCAACATAAATAAATAAAAAAACATAGCTTTTTTTTTAAAAATCGACATAGATAGATCGACGTGAAATTTAGTTATCTTTTATTAAAAAAAAGAAAGAAACTTGAAATCGCTTCATATTTGGGCTCTCAAAAATCATTCATATTGGACACAAATCGTTGAAAATTAGTATGTGAAGCAGAATTTTGGTAAAAAATAGTGTTATTAAGAAATTGTTGGAAAATGGGCAGGACCACGCCCACTTATGATGAAATGCTGTATCTCAGTAGCCGCTTCACCAATCCGTACCAAACTCGGTACGAGCCTTGCCTTGGGATTAGCTAAGAAATCTGTTGAAAATCTTTGAAATCGAGCAATAACCACGCCCACCTCCCATATAACGGTAATTTACAGAAACACGAAAACTGCGATAAATCAGTAACTACTGAAGCTAATTGACTCAAAATCGATAGTTTAGAGAAAGTTGAAACGAAGATATTCGATACCTTGGCCGGGTATATATTTCGGTTTCGCCCGAACTTATACTCTTTACTTGTTTTTATTTAAATTAATTTAAATTAATTTTTTTAATTTCACTTGGATTTTCTTTTAATTTGTAGACCATATTATTTAAAAAAGAACCAGATTAATTTCGTTTAGTTTAAGGAGCTTATCTTTCGCTTTTTTATATTTTTTCTTTTTAATTTAATTTGTTTAATTTTTATATTTTTATTTTATTTTTATTTTTAAATTTCAAAATAATTCTTAAGAAACTTAGTTTACTAATTTTTATTTATTTTTTTGTTGGCTTAACTTTTATAAATTTTTTGTTTTTGTTGTTTTAAACAGAAAAATGTATGTACTTTTTAATTTAATTTAATTTTTTTTTATCTTACTGATAGATAAATTAAAAAAAAAAAAAAAAAAAAAACGCTAAGACATCTTCGTTAGCAGATATATAAATTAGTCTGGCCAGAATTGACAATTCTTATTCGAAGGACTATGGTGAGTTGAAAGACATTGGCCAGAATAGCCCGTTAGTCCAAGCGGTATAATACATGTGTATGCACATATATTTATTTACTCACAAACTGAGGTCGTTTTTTTTAATTAAAACTTAACTACAAGTGTATACATATTAACTCTTACATTGTGATCAATTTGAGTGGGTAAAATTGATAGCCATAAGAGTTAAATTCTGATAAATTTAAAATATCGACGGAAGTCCCGGTTTCGAACGAGTTCAATTTTAAATAAGTATACGAAAAAAACATATGAGGCAAAATAATAAATTTTTTAATTAAAAAAAAAAAACACGAAACTGGCGTTGAAATGCAATACAGTTCAATGAATTTTGAACCGATGGCCAGAGTGACTATTATTAGATACATATCTAATACATAAGTACAACGGTATGCATGGGGGTCTATTAGTGCATGTTCGTCGGCGGTTGACACTTCGATAGGTGCCACACGCGCAGTTGCATGCAACGTCATGCAGCGGAAGCGAAAGCAAATCGAGGCGTTGACGCTGAAACGGTGATTAAGGCATCAAACGTCAACATAACAACGCATGACCTAGATGCGCATACATATATTTACATACCTATGCACGTACAGTTACATATGTGGGTTTAAAAAAAAAAAAAACATAGACGTGAATACGCGTGCATGCACTTGCTATTAAATAGTGGTTACACATACTTCTATACAGACATTCACATACAATTATTGCACGCATGCGGAGGCCAATGAGGATGTGGGAATAGCAACAAAATGTGGCAACATAAGGTAAAATATTGTGATTTTGTGATTGTCAATACATAGTTAATCGCGGACGTTGGTTGGCGGTGAGCTAATGAATGATGGAACGAACGTGTTCGGCAGGGGGTGTAGCTGGTGATTGCTTGCCGCGGTTAAATGTAGCAACCTGGTTGCTTATTTTCGTTGTGGTTGGTTTGGCGGTTTGCGTGTTGTTGTGTTT